AAAAAAAGATTATTTATTTAATTGACAGAGACAGCGAGAGAGGGAACACAAGCAGGGGGAGAGGGCGAGGGAGATGCAGGCTTCCCGCTGAGCAGGGAGCCCGATGCAGGGCTCGATCCCAGGACCCTGGAACCATGACCTGAGCCGAAGGCAGTTGCTTAACCAACTGAGCCACCTAGGTGCCTCTAAATAAATATTTAAAAAACAAAACAAAAAATCCCAAGAAAGAAAAGCCCAGGACAAGATAACTTCACTGGTGATTCTATCAAACATTTATTTTATTTTCTATCAAACACTTTATTTATTTATTTTGACAGAGAGAGCGAGAGAGGGAACACAAGCAGGGGGAGTGGAAGAGGGAGAAGCAGGCCTCCCACCTAGCACTGAGCCCAATGCGGGGCTTGATCCCAGGACCCTGGGATCATGACTCGAGCTGAAGGCAGGCGCTTAACGACTGAGCCACCCAGGCGCTCCTCTATCAAACATTTAAAAAAAGGATTAACGCCCAAAAGACAGTATCCACATAGTAAAAAAGCAACCCAAAGAAAGGAGAAAGTATTTTCAAGTCATATATCTGATAAGGGATAATATCCAGAATATGTAGAGAACTTATAAAACTCAACAACAAAAACCCAATTTGAAAATGGGCAAAAGATGAGATACCACCTCACACCTGTCAGAATGGCTAAAATTAACAACACTGAAAACCACAGATGTTGGTGAGGATGCAGAGAAAGGGGAACCCGCTTGCACTGTAGGTGGGAATGCCAAAAGGTGCAACCACTCTGGAAAATAGTATGGAGGTTCCTCAAAAAGTTGAAATAGAACTACCCTACGACCCAGCAAGTGCACTACTAGGTATTTACCCAAAGGATACAAAACTACAGATTTGAAGGGGTACATGCACCCTACGTTCACAGCAGCATTATCAACAATAGCCAAACTATGGAAAGAACCCAATGTCCATCGGCTGATGAATGGATAAAGATGTAGTATATACGCACAATGGAATATTACTCAGCCATCAAAAAGAATGAAATCTCGCCATTTACAAGGACATGGAAGGAGCTACAGTGTATTATGCTGAGGGAAATAAGTCAGAGAAAGATAAATACCATATGATTTCACTCATACATGGAATTTAAGAAACAAAACAGAAGAACATGCAGGGGGAGGGGGGATAACAAACCATAAGAGACTTTTTTAAAGATTTTATTTATTAGAGAGAGAGAGAGCACGAGCAGTGGCAGGGGGAGGAGGGGAGGGCAGAGGAGGGTGAACAGGGAGCCTGACAAGGGGCTCAATTCTAGAACCCTGAGATCATGACCTGAGCCGAAGGCAAATGCTTAACTAACTGAGCCACCCAGGCACCCCACCGTGAGACTCTTAGAAAACAAACTGAGGTGAGGGTTGATGGAGTGAGGGAGGTGGGGGATGGGTTAGAAGGGTGATGGGTATTAAAGAGGGCACTTGTGATGAGCACTGGGTGTTGTATGTAAGTGATGAATCACTGAATTCTCCTGAAACCAATATTGTACTGTATGTTAACTAAAAAGAATTGTACTGTATGTTAACTAAAAAAAAATTTAAATAAAAATTTGAAGGAAAAAAATGGGCAAAAGACTGCAACAGACATTTCTCCAAAGAAGATATCTGAGTGGCCAGTAAGCCCATGAAAAGATGCTCAATATCCCTAAACATTAGGGAAGTGCAAATTAAAACTACCATGAGATACCACCTCACACCCACTGGGATGGCTACTATCTAAAAAACAGAAAACCAGTGTTATGGAGAATTTGGACAAATTGGAACCCTGTGCACTGTTGTGGGGAATGTCAAATAGTACAGCCACTGTGCAAAACAGTATGGCACCTCTTCAGAAAAACTAAAAATAGAATTCCCATGTGATCCAGCAATTCCACCTCTGCATACATACCCAAAAGAACTGGAAGCAGGATCTCAAAGAGATATTTGTACATCCATGTTCATAATTCACAATAGCTAAAAAATGGAAGCCACGCAAGTATCCATCCACCAATGAATGAATAAGCAAAATGTGGTACATACATATAAGGACTACAATGTGGCTTTAAAAAGGAAGGAAGTTCTGTAATATGTTACAGTATGGATGGACCTTGAAGATATTTGCTAAGTGAAATAAGCCAGCCACAAGAAGACAGTCTGGCCCTGATTTCTGTACCTAGTACATATGACACACCCAGTAAATGTTTACTGAATGAAAAAAAATTACATACTACTTCACGTTCTTTAGGATGGGTATACATCAAAAAAAAAAAAAGGAAAAACCAGTATTGGCTACAACGTGGAGAAATAGAAATTTTGTACACTGCTGGTGGAAAACAGCTGTTGGTCCCTCAAAAAATTAAACATTGCCATACAACGCAGCAATTCGACTCCCGGGTATGTACCCCAAGG